CAAGATCAAGCTTTCAAGGGAACTGCCTTCAAGTCCAAAATTTAGGTTTGTTTTAATGCTGATTTTGTGTCCTTTGAAGTGCTTATTTGCTTGAATATGAACTCTAATCTCAATATAAAGCACATGGGCTGATTCTTGAAGCATAACATGAAGTTCATATGTTGATTTTGATGCATTATGTATGTAATTTGCAAAAAAAACCTGATCTGATTTGCATTCTTTTTAAAAAATCAGCAACTTTTTGAATATATGGAATTTTTGAAGTATTTTTTGTTTACTTATTTCTTCTAATTTTATATTTTTTTCTCTTGTACTTGTTGATAGGTGGAAGCAAAAAACTTGTATTCAGGCTCAATTCTTCGAACTGCGCGAGGAGGCTAGACAGAAAGGGCTGCAAGTCACTGACCAAGAAATACGGTATTCGCTAGTCGTGGGCCGTGATAATCTAACCTCGAGCTTGTCAATGACGATTCAAGAGGAGATAAAGAAGCTATATGGTGGTATCCTTCCTCGATGAGGCGATGATGATGGAACAGGAGGTGCAGGACAGCTCGAGATTTGTTGAGACTTTTACGACCTTAGCTTCCTCCATTTTAAACGCTTGACACTAACACTTTAATATTCATTATTAGAATATAATGAATTATGTTACATTTACACGTGAAGTTTTCATTAATCTAGTTTTGAATTATCAATGTGTGTGAAAATTGAATGTGTTTTGCCTCCCATTTTAGTATCCAATGCCTAAAAACAGAAAAATCCAAGTTGATCATCTAGATATTTGCGACGGAACCATCTGTTGCTGTTTCTGTCACAGATCTGCGACGGAGGTGTCCGTTGCTAATTCTGTCGCAGATCTGCAACGGTTCCTAATTTCCGTCGCAGATTACATCCGATGAAAAAAGGGATATTCTGTTGCAGGTCCGTTGCAGATCTGCCACGGAATTTAAATTCCGTCGCAGATTTTAAATCTGCCACAACTTTTATGCGACGGAAAGATTTCGTAGCAGATCCGTTGCAGAATGGAAATCTGCCACAGAATTTCAAAATCTGCCACGAAATTTGTCCGTTGCAGATCGGCAGTTTTCTTGTAGTGTAATTTACAATACATATTGCAGTTATACATTAAAATGATGCATACATGTAAAAATATTATCATGTGAGGAAAACAATATGCAAAAAAAAAAAACGTTAAAGAAAGTGATGAAAAAAGGGATATATGATGGAACACTATTTAGAAAAAAAATTGAATTATAAACCACTTATTATTTTCGTTCAAAATTTTTTAATGATAATAAATAAATAAATCTCTTGCACTTTAAGAATGGCATTAATAAACCACATACTAAGAAATGCACTTTAATCTCTTGCACTTTAAGATAAATAATGCATGCATAATTTACAATATGTATTGCAGTTATATATTAAAATGATACATACATGTAAAAATATTATCATGTGAGGAAAACAATATGCAAAAAAAATGTAAAAGAAAGTGATGAAAAAAGGGATATATGATGGAACAGTATTTAGAGAAAAAAAATTGAATTATAAACCATATATTATTTTGGGTCAAAAAATTTTAATGATAATAAATAAATAAATAAATCTCTTGCACTTTAAGAAATGCATTAAAATAAATCAAAAAAAAGAAATAAAATATTATAAAGAGGTTAATAGTAAATATTATTCATTATTGATTTTGATAAAAAAAATAGTTCACAAATTGAAAAAACATAAAAAAGAAATCATTAACTTGACAAATCCGTTATTGCACAATTAAAAAATGATTAATATTACAATCATTAATATGACTACTCCTAGAATAACGGCTAAAGATTC